CGCTGAGAGCTCACTCCATCCAGTCTAGCAGCCATAAGAATGGAAACTTTCGTGACTCATACGCTTCGCAGTAGACTACACTAAAAGGCACCTTCGCTGCTGTTTTCACAACCAAGTGAAACATCATATCTATATTACAGCTCGGGAAGTGTGGAGAGGAGCTACCCAAGGGAACTGGCACATGTGGTATGAACAGCCAAGGCTATAATACTGCAAGGGGAGTGAAATCAAGCCAAGACTGCAGACGAGTTAGGGGGAAACCATGGAGGCACCTCCTGCGCTCCACCGGGGCACTGTTTGGCAGCTGCTGCCGCTTTGATTATGGTGTGTTTGTGCCATGGCTTCACGGCAACGGCAACCCAAAAGCACAGTCAGTAGCAAAGGCATTTCTCTGAGCTCCTCTACTGGCTGCAGTGGCTTGTGATGGGACTGCCATGGCAATCCAGGCAATGGCACCAGTGAGGGGGAAAGAAAATACCAGTTTTAATCGTTACTGTATTTGGTCCCTAGCTCTGCACCCTGGCGCAGAAAGGTGGTCCCTGGTGCGGTCCTAGAGCCATGCCTGGGACATGCTTGTTAGCGTGGTCAGCTTTGAAATGTTTCTTTTGTTGTGAAGATGGGTCTGCACATCTACCAACTGGGTGTCTATGGGCTGTGATGAAAATGATGCTCGAATTGCTGATTTGCACTCTTTGTTTTGGAAGTTGATTTTCAGACTTGAAGGAAATTCTTCCTGCTCTTGTCCCCAGGTGTGGAAGAATACACCTCTGCACATTTACTCCTCTCTCAGTCCTGCCACTCTTGATGCAAGGGGAAAACAAATAGGAGCAAAGATCCGACCTACCTTATGCCCAATTTCTCCCAAAGGCCCAGGTGGCCCCTGTGGTCCTTGTGGACCCTGAAAAACAGAAACACAAGGCTTTTTTCATACAACTGTTTTCACTTCTGAAGGGCCATCACTTTCGTGACCTGTAAGATAAAACACCAGTCTCCTCCCACATCACAGTGGAGCTCCACAGCGTGCAAGGGATGCCCAGTGAGATGGAGAAGCCAGCAATGGGTGTGCTGAAGCACTTTAACAGCCAAACAGCTCAGAAGGCCCTTCATCTTTATGGCTCCCACCTAAAAGAGTTGCAGCTGGCAACCCGAAAATGCCTGGTTTACCCTCTCCCTTCAGAGTCCAGGTCAGTCGCCACAGACACAGGAGATGACCCCTCTTCTTGCTTCTGTGGTCCTTTTGGCCCTCCTTGAGGTCTGTGTCTTCACCTGTCACCTCTCAGTGCCTCCCTCAAAGCTGTGAGCTCAATTCTGACACCAGCAGCCTCCCTCTTGGTCTCCCTTCCGCTCTACCTACCAGCTCAGGCCAACTCCTCCCGTTACATCTGGCCCTGCCCCAGACCTAACCTTGCCCGTCTTTTCTCCCTTCCTTTCTGAAATCCATCCCAGGCTGTATCCTACACTCTCCCTGGTTGATCCATGGTCCCCGTTTGCTTTCCAGATGTCTGACCTTGTCTTTCCTCATGCCTCCTAAGACTCTAGCCAAGTCTTTCACATCTCTGACCATGCTGGACTTGGCAAGAACAGGGAAGCTGGGAATAGGAATGAGTGGTGGGGAAGAGAGAGAGAGAGAAATAAATGAAGTGTCTGTATTTCTGGAAGGAAAGACAGATGAAGAGAGAGTGATAAGACACTTGCCGGGTCGCCTGGAGCCCCTTTTGCTCCTGGAGGTCCAGAAGGTCCTTGGATACCCTAGAAAAATTAAAAACATCAAGGTCAGCTCCAATCTTTCATGCCTCTTGGCAGTAACGTGTACCTCAATCACTCCAGTAAAAGGAGGGGAGAAGTGGTCCTGTAAGTGCGAGAGACTGTGAAAGTTCTTCCTCCTGGACCAGGACCCAAAACTTACGGACCTACGTGAAACTGAAGGTTATGAAAGGAAGCATATGGGATGGACACTCACCAGGAAGCCACGCGCTCCTATCTCCCCAGTCTCCCCCATCTTCCCCTGTGAACACACAGTTACAGCAATTAACAGCTGGGAATGTGCCGAGGCACCTGCGGCGCTTTGGCCAGGAAGGAGAAGCTGCAGATCCCTGGGCACTGCGCACGTGCGGTACGTCCGTGGTGGTGTGACACCATGCCAGGTTCGGCAGGCCCTGGCTCTCACAAAGGACATACCTGCAGCCCATCTGGCCCCAGCTTGCCCGGCTCCCCTGGTCGGCCCTGCAAAGCAAAAAGACAAAGACATGTTGGCAAAAGCACAAACTGTATTGGCGATGCTCATCAGCCCCAGCCCCTCCACTCTCGCATTTCTTGTATCTGCCAGGCTCTTTGCACCAGGCATCTCCTAGGTTTTTTCCTGTCTTGATCTAATTAACATGAAGTACATCAGAACAGGTACGTATTCCCTTAGGTCATATTTTACCAGTCACATTAAATTGCCCTGATTTCCGTGCTACGTTCAGATGTAACAGTCAAGCACACTCACTGCCAGCTAAAGCTGCTCCCATTCCTGCGAGCGACCCCATGATTTTAGCATTCAGGGCCCCAGACCCCAGCAGCAAGGGCCCTGATGCCCACGTTGGACAGATTTTACTCCAGCTGCACGAAAGACTCATCGCTGCTGGCTGATCCTCATGGAGCGACTGAACATCCCCTGTTTGTGGAAGAGGATGTGACATTGATCCTGCCCAGGGTATTTCACAACGCAGCTAAGAGCAGCCTTGGCCAACCTGGCCACCCTCTGGCATTCACCTTGACACCTCGTGACCCTGGCTCGCCTACTGGTCCATCAGGCCCTCTGGCACCCTGGAAAAAGGCAAAAGAGAGGCAAAACTAAGAACACAGAGTCTCACTGGAAAATACAGCAGTCACCAGGAAAGTCCATGAGATCAGTCCTGGCCAAGCCAACCTACACCTGGTTGGGTTGAGCACAGCAGCTCAGAGTCCAGGACTCAGAAGATCCCTTCTGTGTTTTGTTGCTTCATTTCTCACCGTTTACCAGCACGCAGCACCAAAATACTTTTTATTCCTGTTAAACCAACTACCAACTGCAAACCAAAGCCAGAGGAGAAACGCAGGCCAGGAACAGCCTTATTTTCAGACTACGGTTACATGACAAGGGTTTTGCAATGCACGGACTTGCATTTCTAGCCTTATTGATGGCTAGAACACCCAGGAGCCCCGCTTCTCCAACTGTCCGTGCCCTTAACCCTTGGCATACCACACTGTCTCATGGTCACAGTCGGGGCAACAAAGCTACAAAATACATAGAGAGGCACACAAGCCCCCACCATACGGTACCTTCGCAGCTGTGCTGGGCCCCAAACTGCTCCCAAAGAGCAGGGTATGTTTGCTGGCAGCTGAAGTCTACGCTTTCAGCTCTGGTTACCTGCTATTTAAAGAACTGACTGCTGTGGAGGATCGGGCAGGTGCTCACGTGTGCTGGGAGGAGCGCAGACGGCTGTCCCTGCTTTGGCGTGTCGGGTCCTACGCCCGGATCCGCTCCGGGGTGTGCGCGTGCGTGTGGCGGGCGCGAGGACCTCGGGAGGCGCAGGGGACACGCACACCAATGCAAACGCTCACGGCACGTACGAGAGCCCAGGCAGTGAGCGATCCGGGGCATGACTAGCTAAAATCGAACAGCTCATGGTACAGCTCGAGCACCCTTGTGGAAGGGGTGTCCGTGTTCTTCCAGAGGGTGCTAGGCGAGGAGAGCGCTGGTCTCAAAGAGGGGATGTGACCTAGCTTTCAAGCTAATTTCAGAAGAGCTGAACATGCAACTCTCTCAACTATCTGAACCCCAGAAACCAGTCTGTCACACTGACAGAGAATAAACAGAGCCATGGTCAGGGAAAAAAAAAAGCCACGAAAAAAAGGGCATATCAAGAGACTCTATTAACATCATGTTCATAATCAGGCCGTGAGCTCAGTTGGGACTCTTAGGCGCTACTGCAATATAAATAATAAATAAAAACACAGAGTGGTGCTAGAATGTAGTGGTAAGAGGAATCCTGAGAGCACGCCAATGCAGAAATAGAGAAAACAGGAGCCAACATGCTTAATCGGGATGCAAACCGAGTGCCAAAAGTACTAACAGGGCTAGGGAGCCAATGCGTTAGAAAAGCAACTCCAGTGTGACAGGCAAGGAGAGAGAGACTCACAAAGAAAGGCAGTGTAACAGCAGAAGATGTATAGGAAACGTAGCCAAATTATTACAGCAGACAAACACCGTCAACATAAAATAATGCAAAAACTTCTACTGTGCTTGGCAAAACCCTGTGCCACTGAGTGTACCAGAGATTAAATAACCAAAAGCCTGCATTGTATGCCAGTAAGACACAGCTCTAAAGAATGCTCAGCCTGGCCTCAAGGACAGACGGACAGAGAAGGACTGTGCACCAGATGGGACCATCACAACCAAATGGGGTGTTCCACAGGTTGGTGCTTTGCCACACTAATGTACTGGCAGCTCTCACCAGCCCTAGACCCCAAGTGCCCCGGCTCATGCTGGCCACTAGATCAGAGAGCAGAAAAGACCAAAAGTTTTATTAATCCATGTCCCAATAAACCTCAAAGCACAATGACATAAACCAGAAGGTCATTTAAAAGCAGGGCTACTGACAGCTTAGGCCAGACAGCGCTGTAAGTTGGAATAATGGGAGAGCAAGGCTTGGAGGCATCTGGGGTGACTGGGACACCCAACAAAATACACAGACCTGCCCTGGGCTGAGTACTGGGCTGCCCAAAAAGAAGGGAGGTATCAGCATGTGTATGGCACCGGCACCCTGGGTAAACACCCTGCCACTCAACTCCTCATCCTCCCTGGAAAACAAACCGTTCCCCTCCTCTTTGAGCAAGCTGTTCAGACATTTTGTGCAATTACATCTTTACTATCCAAGATGATGGGGTGACCTGCTTGTGAAGAAGGGGAAGAATGTGGGGAGGGGAAGGATTCACTAGCTCAGCCCTGGTATTACAGAAGGAGGGAGCAGGGATCAGAGGCAAGTGGGACATGGAAACGACAGTGATGACCCAGGTTAGAGGTTTCCCTTCCAGGACAGATGCTGTTGGGGAAGGAAAGTGGGATGTGTCCGGCCCCTCCAGACCCATCTTCTGTAACCTGTCCTGCCCTGTCCAGCCCCTTTGCCAGCGCTGGGCTGCTCTGAGCTGGGTGGAGGCTGTTGGGTGCCCTCAGCCCTCCTTCAGCGCTGCAGCAAGCGCAGCGATGGCTGTGGTTCTCAGCGGCCCAACGCGGCAGGGCTGGCTGGCCGGGGGGAAGTTTACGGTATCCTCGTTTCTTCCAGCAGAGCCCTGTCACCAGCATCGCAGGATCTGCCAGGGCAATCTCACTTCACAACAGTCACCTGCCTAATCCCATCACAACACATCTCATCGGCATCTGACCTAAAGAAGGAGAAAGTGACCCCGTATTCGCAAATGCATCTGGCAAGCTTCATCTTCCCCAGCCTCCTGGGCCGAAACCCAGGATAAAGGCTTCCCCTAATTCACCCTGACAGGAAAGGCTACATTTAGTCAATTAGTTAAATCTTTAAAACTCTCTTTTACTGACAACGCCGGTTAGAGATGAGTGAGTGAGGTCCTGGCAGCTCTCCAGGGAGCATCCCATGCCAAACGCTGCAAGGCACAGCACGGTGCCTTCCCCCTGCAGACCCGGCGGCTTGGCCTTGCACGCAGGGCTGAGCGCAGCCCCCCGGGCTCCCCTCGGACGCTCAGTACTTCAAAATTAACTGAACAGCCAGGCATGCCTACCCTGAGCATGGCAGCGCAGAGGGACCAGGGCGAGCGTGTAGAGAGGCACCTCGGGGAACAACCTCCTAAGGGCACATGCAGCACGGACCCGTCCTTCGAATGGGGCAAGGGGGTGCAGTGAAAGGCACGGCTTGGTCACCCGTGGCAGCACCTCCAGGAGCCCGTGAAACGGAGAAGGAAGCTTTTCTTTAGCCTATGTCAGTATTTATACGGCAGTACACAGCTCAGGAGAGATGCCGCTGGGCCGGGGCTGTACAAACAGTGCAAGCTCCAAGTAGCTTCACAATGCAAACAGGGAAAAAAGGAGGGTTAAATCGAGATCTGTGTCTGCTCCTCTGCACATGGGCAGCCAAGGCAGAGAGAGATACAGGTTCACGGCTGATGGAGCATTTGAGAACCTGCTCAGCTGTTTCACCAAAGCCAGTTGGACATGGATACGTGGTCCAAAAGCATTGCCATGTCCACCTCGGAGCAGCTCACCCGAGATCCCACAGGGAGTCACAGCACAGGGATGCGCCTGGGCAGTCCCACTGCAGCACATCAGCCACCGGACCAAGTGTCATCACTCATTGCTATCTACTTTCCCCTCTTGGTTGGGTTGTCAGGTGCGAGGAGCCGAACTGGCGTCGTGCAGGAAATCACAGCTCTGTGTCCCTGTGTCCCAATGCGGTTGCTCCAGCCGCAGTAAGTCACGCTTGCGCTGAGGTCCTGGATCTCAGCAGGCAGCAAGACACTTCTGGCTGGGCAAAGCCCAACACTTAAAATTCTAGTTTCAATGTCTTACGTGGGCACATTTCTCGCTGTAATCCCTGTGTAGGTCCCCATGGAGCTAGGCAGTAGAAAGCTCGCGTTAAGTCCTTGCAAGTCTCACCTGCAGTCACATTCTGCCCCCCGTGATCATGAGTTATTTTTAACGTAGGCTCCAGCAACGGTAGCAAAGCAGGTCGCAGTGCCACACCGCCAGCGGGTACACAGCCCAAGGCAGCGCTTGCCCCCGCGGCATGCAACGCTGAGCAGCGCTATCAGCAATCCCGGGCTAAGCAAAGTGTTACCGTGTTGGCTAGATATGAACAGCGTCAGCTCACAAATGCAGGGGAATTCAGCTCCGGGCTTTGCAACTCAGGTTTACTGCTAGTCCACGCGAGGCAATGGAGATACACCTCGCTGCTAGAGGAGA